TTTTAAACAGTGTTTACACTCCCCCCTCAGGCTGGTCCCCACAGAATTTCCTCCCTGCACCATCACCCACAGTCCCCTGTGGTGCCTCCCTCTCTCCTTCCCTCCTTCTCTCCCCTCCCCCTCCCCTGCAGGATGTCCCTGGTTTATAATTGTTTTCTTTTGTTTTGCAACAGGGATGGAGCTAGAAGGGATGGTGCTCAGTGAAATAAGTTAGGGGGAAAAAAAGATATATCAGATGGCCTCACTCACAGGAGGGATATAGGGGAACCAAATAAGACATAGAGGGAAAATACTAACAATACAAAACACAGCTTTTATTCCCAACTGCCCACGGTCCCTGGAACTCTCTGGTTCCTCCTAGGATAAAAAAAGCCAGGGAGGAGCCACTGTGTTATTGGAGGGCCTGCCCCATCGCACACAAGGGACAGTGGTAGTGAAGTGTCAGGTTCCAGGAGGCAAAATGTGGGGTAATTGTGGCTGAATTGATCCAGTTTTGCATGGGACAGAGCACGCGCGCGCGTGTGTGTGTGTATAGGGGGGAGCAGGGAGAAGGAGGTTGGGGGAGACTAAGCCGATTACACCAAACACCATGAGATGCTTACGCAGAATTTCCACATTCTACATGAAAATCTGATATAATTGACCTGAGTTCTTATTTTATGGAGGGGAAAGGGTGACTCAGAAAAATCAAGTGGCTCGCTCAGTAGCATGGCCCGGAGACTCGCTCGGCTGGCATTTCTCCCCGACGAGTCCTGTGTCCTCCATGATTTAGTTCACGCGGGATCCAAGTCGCGGGGCGTCAAAATGACGGTCCCGCCTGCCCTGGAAGGCGCTGTCTCCCCCCGCCCCCACCCTGGCCCCCTCTCTCTGTAAGTGCTTCTCACTTACAGAAACAGCGACTCTTGGCTGCTTTTCCTTCTGCTTTGCCTGTCTTGCCTCTTGCCTCGCCGTCCAGACATCCGAATTTCGTGCGAACGCTGATCTTCTCGCTTTTTATTTTTAGAGGCGCCCTTACTCCTCACTCCCCACCCGGCCCTAATGTTCCATTAGAGGTGGGTCATAAGTCTTGTTCAACTCAATATTCAATATTTAAATCATTACAACCAAGAGCAGATTATCCACAGATGAGCTAAAAGAGAGGTCTGATTCTGATGTGCATTTCACGTGTAATGTTGGTTTTCTCCAGAGTTACATTTTCCCCTTGCTTTTTGTTGTTCTGTGTTTGGTGTTTCCATCATAAAGTGTTCCTGTGATAGAGGCACATCGCGCCGGTGTGTCAATCCATTTAAACACATGTACATCTCACAGGACATTTCCCTCAGAGAACTTCAAGAACCAGGAAACCCATTTTAGCGTGAGATATTAAATGAAGGCAGGGGTCCTATGGGCATGATATAGAAAGTCCAGTCAGAGACGCTGTGTGAACCAAAACCTTACCTGTTCTGTCATGAAAGAGTCAGCTCACCTAGTCCCTTCCTCTAAACAACAGCCTGCAAGTTCCAAGCCAGGGTGGAGTTTCCTGCCAGCCTGCTCTCCATCACTGCTTTCTCCCACACCATTTGCACCGATCCTCCTCAGTGGTGCTTAAATTTTGCACCTGGACTAGAGTCCTGGCAGCTGAGGCTGCGTTCCTCAATGCATCCTGGATCTGCAGGAGTAGGACTCCAACAATGATGACAAAAGTCAGTGACTGAATCTGAAAAGCCTATCTCTCCATGAGTAAAATTACCAGTTGTACCAAGAACTCTCTACTGCTCTGTGGATATCAAATGAAATAAAATGCCAATCTAAAATTTGATTCATTCGGGAATTTCTATGTGGACAACTTTGAATTGGCTCTGTAGCTAATCCCTATATATTGCTTTCAATTTGCTCTCTAAAGGGCCTGAGTGTAATTCCCTTTAATGACATTATTTAAAACTACCACGGTCATCACAAAGGGAAACAGGGAGTGTCTGAGTCAGAGGCTTTATATTTCAGAGTAATGCAAGGAACTCTCTCAGACTCACCCAGCCTGCTGCTAACTTCCTCTATGAAGAGAGTAAGGTAAATATTTCCAAAGTCCACAACTTAAAGTTTGGCCAGACACTTTGATGAGAGAAAGAGGGAAAAATGAATGAATCATGACAGTTTTTTTGTACCTGAGAGTGTGAACTCATCAAAGGCTGTGAGATTTGTTGTCGGTCCTGTTCTTAGCATCTCTGTCCTCTAGCCTATGACTGACTTGTTATGGTGTCCTGGGGAGAGAAGCATTTCCCTTCTAGCAGGAGGAAAGAGCTGGACATTTCTTGTGCCCTTTCGGGAGTGAATTTTAACAGCTTTTGGAGAATGGTGTCCAAATCTGGATTTTTGTATTTCCAGTGCTCTTATTGAAGGCATTAGGGACTGAAATATGTTAATTTTCGGGATTTGAATTTTACTCTTTTTATTATGTAACTAGGAGCTTATGTGATTAGGGAGTTTATCAAAATCAAGAGCCATGTTTTTAAAAGATTTGCAAATATTTCTATAAAGGAGAAACTGGCATTACATTTGACTTAGGTGATAAGAATAAAAATTAAGCATGCTCAACAGTAGTTTTTCTTTCTTCCACAGGTATACTTTAATTCACATCTATACTATATATAATACAGGAGGTTTTTTTTTTTCCAATAATGTACCATGAAACGTGATTCTCTTCCCTTGTAGAGAAAATTATTTTAGGATTAAAATATTTGATTAAGTATTTAAAGCACATAATTTGTTAATTAGGTATAGTGAGTTTAGACTCATGAACTCATCTAATAATAAGCACATTTTATCAAGTGTGTTTGTACCTGCTTTGCATTATACTTAATGAAAATATTTAATGGAAGTTAAATGACTTTAGCAAGAACATATCTATTTTTTATTTTGAAGGAAGGGATAATAAGAAAATTCTCAAGTTCAAAAATACAAGTTAGCATAGAGGTTCCAGGCTTCTGTGAAACTTTAGATTCTGAAATCTTGAGTTCCGGATTTAAAATATTCATGATTAGTTGATTTGTGTTAACTTGATAAGTAACTTGTGCTACTTGTCTCTATATGAATATTACACATAAGAAAATGGTATATTTTTATTGAAATAAAAAGTTAATTTAAAGTCAAGTTCTTTTATGATTTGAAAATAATTTTCCTTCACTGCTCTATTTGGACAAAGGCATACTTCCTTACTTTCTGTAGCTTATGTCATTTATTTTCCTTTGTGTTTGTTTTTATTTAAGACCCTAATCAAGGGTGCTTGTTTTTCTTTGAGTGTAGTTTCTTTTGTTGTTATTGTTGCTGTTGTTGGCATTTATTTTGTTGATAAAGTTTCTGTGAAAATTAATTATAGGAGAAAAGAATATCATAGATATGATACGGTGTTTCCATTTGCTCATCTGTGGGTTGATGAAATCTTGGGGTAGAAAATAAGTCATTCAATCTCAAATATTTTGTGTATTTTCCAATGGGGGTTTAATCTGTCTGTCAGATGAGAAGGGAAGATCTTGTGTTCATTCCTGGATTCACCAGGGCGCTAGTCTAGAAAAGGATAATAAACACACTTATGTGAAGTGTTAAATACTGTTTCGTATTTATTCTCAAAGTGCAGGAACACGTCTGTACAAGAATGCTTACGGATCTATGATCTAGTGCCATTTAGAGCCATTTATCATTTTAAAAGTCATCACTTGAGAATTTATATTGGTCTACGAAGAGTTTGGCTCATGTTTCTCTGTAATCATTATCTCACATGGCTTCTCTGCCATAGAATTCACCTAAACTGTAAAAATATGTACTGGACTGCCTCTTTGCTGAACAAATTCCTCTGTAGCTTATTTTCTTTTCAAGACATTGATAGTTTTGTGTAAGTCATCAGGGTGATTAAAAAATGAGAAAATGAAAACTATGATTATTAATTCTATTATTTTGAAAATTATTTTTAAAAAGTCTTTTAAAAATGTGAAAACTTTCCCCCACCAAGGGGTAAGATAGTAAGATGTCAATTTATAAGGCTACAAAAAGAGTTGAGATTTCACAATGTGCTGAAAAGTATGTTTTCGGTTTGGGGACATAACACGATGTATTATTGTATTTTAGTCATGTCAATTGCACTAGGCAACCGCCCCACCCACAGGGGTCATTTCAAACCTTCTAGGTCTTATTTGAATCTAATACACATTATGTCAGTATATTTAGTTCACAATCTTCTGTGTACTATAATTCTCAAATTATTGTAAATGCTTGGAAAGGGTTATGGTGATTTTGCTTATGAAATGATTTTACTTTCCTAAAAATGACTATAATTTCATTTTCTATGATTTTTAGCAATCAACACGAAGCCTTGAAAACTGGAGAAAACCTAGCATACAGTAGTTTCCTAAAACGAAGAAATTCGTTTAAAAAAACTGTTTCTTCTTAAATTGCAGATGATTTAGAAAGCAAGGGTGAATAGATTGTCTACTGTTACGATATTTATTTTACTGGAAACTACTTTTATTCTGTTTCAACTTAACCTCTGGGGCGATTTGAGAAGGAGTCACAGTAATACAATAATAGCACGTAGTGATCGTCTGGGAGCATCTAGGGAAAGTCATGGTATAAACAGGTAGTGACCGGACGCACCAATATGTTCACTTAGGAATTGGAAACGGGACTCTCAAGGCCAGTAAAGACAGAATGCTCTGTCAAGAGGCAGGAACTGCTGCAGGTCCTGGTGTGAGCACTAGCTAGCGAGACCCGGAACATAAAGAACATTAATGCAAAAAAAAAAAAAAAAAGTATATTGCGATAATGATGCAAGAGAGTTGTAGGGTTTTGGCACAAGGATCCTAGGTCAAAGGACCTTCTCCTTTTAGTCCTAAATGACTCGATGCTCTGTCCAAGGCTGAAGAAACGAAACTTCAAATCGAAAGCCAAAGCATAGAAAATGTAAGCTCCACAGAGAATGGCCCGGGAACTCGTCTTGTCTTCCTGTTCCGTAGGCTGAGCTCCATTTCACAATGGCCTCCCTTGCTGCAGCAAATGCAGAATTTTGCTTCAACCTGTTCAGGGAGATGGATAATAACCAAGGCACCGGCAACGTGTTCTTCTCCTCGCTGAGCATCTTCACCGCCCTGGCCATGATTCGGCTGGGCGCGCGAGGTGACTGTGCCTCTCAGATCGATAAGGTCAGTCTCAGTTGCGCCGCCTCCCAAAGCTTCCACAATTCATCCTCAGGAATGCTGTTTCTCTTTTTCCAAGAGAGTTTTGACTGCAGTGGGGTAACATAAAAAGCCATTGCAACGAGCCCCTCTGGCTGTGTGACCAACGGCCACTTGCTTTTGAGCTTACAGGGCCTCAGAGCCGGGAGAAGGCAGGAGGAGCTGAGTGGCAGATTGCATGCTTGTCCTTAGCACAAATTTCCCAGCCCAGCTGCATCAGCGTCAGCTGGAGAACTTGTTAGACCTGCACATGCTTGGGCTCCACCCCAGACCCACCGGATCCGACACTATGCAGAAGCCCAGCTGTCTGTGTTTAATGGACTTTCACTAAATGCAAGTTTGAGATCCACTGACTGTGTAAATATGGATGAGAAGGAAGAACCAGGAAAGGATGCTCAGGAAATCTTAGTTTAAGCACCAGTGACCAGGGTACAGATGACATAATGGTACAGTCCAGATGCTGGCAGCCCATCTGAATGCTGTCAGTGTCAGCATCGCCACCTTTAGAAAGTGTTTATTAACCCACCGTGTAGGCAACAGCCACGCATGTGCAACAGCCATGCATGTAGGCAACCACCATGCATGTAGGCAACTGTCATGCATGTATTCTTACCGAGAACGAAACTGTCAAGGTTTCCTTCTCTTAGGAACTTGCCATTGACTTGGCAATAGATACCGATAGTGTTATCCTGAGAGAGGAATGAAATGTGCTGGCTTAATTTTTGCACAGAGAATCCTCGGCAAGTCTTAGGTGTGAAGGTCTGGAGCCTTAAGTTTAAAACCTCTTAACAGGTCCTCCCTGGTGGCGCAGCCAGTAAAGCACAGTAGTAAGAAGCGAAAGCCACCTCAGCATGAGTTTGATCCCCACCTGCCCCTGAGGTGACCCACATGGCGCAGCAGACCTCTCCTGACCCACCTGCTGCTCCCCTCAGCAGTCTGCCTGTTCTGCTCCCCACTCTGATGAATCCTGTCACCACCCCTGCACCTCTGGCCTGTACCCCAGTTCTGTATGAATACATAAATCTTTTTAAAAACAAACAAATGGAGGTACTAGTAACGGACTTGACCAGTAATTGCATCTCCAGCCAAATGATTCTTGATCCCTTCTCCCCACCCCCACTCTCCATGAGCAAGGTGGCTCAGCTATAGCATGGGTGGTTAGTCTTTTGGCAGAAATTCCAACCAATGAGAGAGTCTTGGTTGCCAGTAAAATAGCAGTAGGACAAGCCCACATCATCTGGGAGTTGTTTCGCTCATTCACACCATTGCCTGGAGATGGGTGTGTCCCTGGCTGCCCCGGCTTGGGGTCCATCTCATCTGGGGAGCTCAGGAGTTTTGAAGGGACTATCATGTGCGCTATGCTATATCACTCAGGACTAGAGCAGTCATTTGAGCTTCAGAACCTAGAGGCATAAGGACTTGAGGAAATTCAGAGCAAGGATGATAGAAAAATTGCAACAATGTCTCTGGCATAGCAGCAATTTGTTGTCACCAGCTTTTGAGAATCATATGGAAAAGGTAAAACCTTTTTGCTGGATCCTAACTTATCTCTCTCGAGCCCAAAGCTTATATGCAGACCTTTCCATGTGTCAATACCTACTTCTCCGTTTTATTTTGGTGCCTGTGAAATTAGCCCTAACCTTTACTCCCACTTGATCGGACAGTTTTCATCTTTTATTTTGCTCTTTTTGATCCTTGTCCAGGCTTCATCAATGAGTAATTACGACATTTCTCCAGAATGATCAGACTCAAATTATTAAACACATGTCACTTTGTGGTCAACGATCTATGAGTCACCGGCTTATGTTACTTCCTCATATGAACCACCTGTGCACACTGTATCCCTGCCCTGCACACAGCCTCCCTGCCCTCACACAGCCTCCCTGCCCTGCACACTGTATCCCTGCTCTGCACACTGCATCATAGCACACCGCCTTGCACACTACACTCCTGCCCTGAACACTGCACCCCTGTCCTCCTACTCTGCACACTGCACCCCTGTCCTCCCTGCCCTGCACACTGCACCCCTGTCCTCCCTGCCCTGCACACTGCACCCCTGTCCTCCTACTCTGCACACTGCACCCCTGTCCTCCCT